AGAGGCGGTGCTGAGGGCCAGGGTTTGGGGGTGGGATGGCAGGGGTAGGGGAGCGGTTGGGCTGGGGGAGCTTAAAGGGCTTTGCCCACCCAAACGATTCCATGATTCTATAAGGGAGGCTGCAGAGGCACCACTGTGGCCCTGGGGATGCAGCGTGGGGGAGGCACAAGGATTTGGGGTGCCAGGTCAAACCAGCATCCCGCCCCCACAGCAGTTTCGATGAGTGATATAAAAAGTAGGTGATCAAAATACTTATATTTTTATTTTGCAGAGGGAGGAATGTACACGCGTACGTGGTGAGCCCGGGCCACCAGCGTAGACCTTGCAGCATCTGGGCTAAACAAGCAATGTGTGCTCAGCTGTTTCTTGAAAGGTGATTTTCTCGGATTATTTTTCTTAGAAAAGACTTTTCCCTTCGGCCTGGGAGTTGTTACTGCTGGCGGCTCCTTTTTAATTCCTGGGAAAGAATAGTCGGGAAGGGAAATGAACGTATTGCTCTTAACACTGGAAGTGGCCCCAGAATTGCTTGTTAGAAAATGGAGCTTTAAAAAATATTAATGCCTAAGCAGATCCCACGTGCAGTGATACCGTTACGGCTGAGACTGAAAGGAATTGCCTTGCCATAAAGCAGCTGGGATCCTGTATTATTATTATTATTATTATTATTATTATTATTATTATTATTACTTTTTGAAGTCAAGGAGCCCACATCCCCACTGCGTGGAGCGATTGGAATACACCTTCTCCTGGGAAGTGTGGAGAGGAGGAGGATGCTCGGGAAAAGGAGAGGCACTGGAAATTAATGGTGAGAAAACAGTGACGAGGCTGGAGGTTGCCAAAATCATCAGGAACACGGGCTCTGAGAGACTCCAGCTGTTATTTCCCACCCCTGTTTGCCACCAAGACCTTCTGAAAATACAGAGGGGAGCACGACTGGGTGACGGGGCGACACGGGTGTGCTTCAGCCATCACCCCCACCCCGGTGCCTTCCTCCTTCCATCCCCACTGGCCTCCAGCTGCCCTCTTCCTCTTCCCCTTCCTTTCCCATGCTCTGCCTTCGCATCCGCTCAGATGCTGAAGGGTTGTTCTCAGCTTTTCCCCAAGCAGTGTAATTTTGGAGCCACACAGCTCATCCCTGAGCAATCCTCCACCCAAAGCCTCCCGAGACACTCCGCAAGGCTACGGGCGCCTTTCTGGCTGGGTTTTCCTGCAGGGATGGGTTTTCCCTTCCTTTGCCGGTTGGATAAAAGTGATTGAAGCCATTGTGTCCCAACTGTGTCCTTCTGGAAGTATTTACCTATGGTCTTTCCAGCGTAGCACGTTTAGCGCTTCAATAATTATTTGCTTTTTCTTGCAAGATCAAGGAGACCTATTGCAGCAGCTGCTCTCAGCTCTGCGCCTGGAGGGCAAGCGGCAAAACCCACCTCTGAGGGCTCCTGAGGTCAAAACCAGCAAATGCTGGAGGACGGTGGCTCGCTTTCAAGACACCAATGCTCCTGAGATGTGCAGGAGACAGCCAGACCCGAGGGCACACAGCCTAGGCGCTTGCAAAGACAAATTTGGATGGAAGCTTTGCTCAACCCCTGCTTGTAGTGTCACCCTCTCCTTCCACAGTGAAAATTGACAGCAGGAGGAAAAATGCTTTAAAATAAGGATTTTGTGGAGCACAGCCCTCTGCAATGACCCCGGGAGCATGCACAGTGGAAGATGCTCCCGCGCACATCTCGGCCGAGGAGCCGCCTCATGGACCGCAGGCAGGGTGTCCCTCTCCGGGGACATCAGCCTCTCCCCGGTATGGTTTGCAGCGTCCCCACACAATGGGATTAAAAGCCTCAAAATGGCAAAACTGGGGTTAAGGCAGCCCAGAGGAGCTGGGAAAGGGAGATTAGAAAGGCAGGAAAGGGGGAGGAAGGAAGTCCCCAGGATGGGGAAGGTCCCCGAGAGGGCAGAGTATGCAGCTGCAGCAGCGCTTTGGGGAAGAGCCATCTCTGTGTGCCATAAACTACCCAACCCAATGCTTTTATTTTTTTGGCTGGACAAGCAGAGGGGCATTTGGGACGAGCTGTTGCTGCCCTCCCTGTAGGGTTTCCTATGGGGCTCGGTGCCAGCAGCTCCAGGGGAGGGCAGGGACAGGCACGTTCAGCAGACCCTGGGCTGCCAGACCTGCCCCAACCACTCTCTCCCATTCCCTACGCCTCCAGCCGTCCAGATTATATTTTTAGATGTTTATTTCTATTTAAAGAGGAGCTGGACATGATCACCTGAAGGCATATTTTAGGCGGAGTTTAAATATTTCCAGGGAGTATTTCCCCTGTATTGCCCCCCAGGTAGGGGAAGATGGGCTGCGAGCAAAAGCCAAGTGTGGCAGAAAGGCCGATAATTCATCAGGAAACCTGTGCCGAGCACGTGGGTGCTCATTACAATGCACAGAAATGGGAATTAAACGTGAACTCGGAGATCAATACCACACGCAATTAAACGAGCCGGCAGGGAACGGCTTCCTAAGAGTGCAGGGGCCGAAACGGGGGAGAATACTGGCACCAAAATGAAACCCTGTCTTTTTAGGTCAAATAGCTCCTGGTACCCTGCTAGAAGTATCTTCCACCCAAATTCACAAAAGTAAAGCGAAGCTGTGCCAAGACAGCATGCGGACAGGTTCATGTTGCTAGAAGGACTCTTCCCTCCTCGACACACAAATATTCCCATGGGAAACCATAGGAAGAGACCAGATAAAATAACCGTTCCTCTGCCATGCAGCCCAGAGGCTGGTAAATGGCTGCAGGATGAGCCGGAGCCCCACTGCCCCACCAGCAAAAAAAGGAATGATAAAATGCTGCTGGTCCTTCTTGCTTTTCCTGGCAAGGTTTTTTCCAGGCATTGGAGCAAGGTGGACGATACCTGCTGCTTGCAGAGCAATAAAAAGAAAATCAGGTATTTAATGAGACTTTCTCCTGGTGCTTATAATCAGAATATTGGAAAGCTGCTCCCAAGAAGAATTGACGGGGAAAAGCACGCCAGTGTTCGCAATGAATAGTATTTGGAAAGATTGAAATGGAAAGCTAAAGCCTCAAACCCTCATCAACCATCTTGACACTGCCGACGGAGGCACGGATGCTGTCCTCCTGCAAATAAAATACTGATTTAAGAGAAAGCGAGTGTGTGATGAGCCATAGGCAAGCCCAATGCTTCAGCTCAGACCTGAGCAAGCCCCAAAGTGCTTAAATTAAATAAGCCGGCTAGGAACAAAAAAATCCCCAAATGGTCCCTTAGTCCGGGGGCTCATCACTTTTCTTCATGTTATTTAAATTTAGGATTTACCCTATTTTATTCCTATAGATGTCCAGGGCTGGGATACTTGCAAAATCCTGCACACAGAGGTGGATGGATGCATGTGCAAAATCCTGCAGGTGCATTGGGCGTGCGAGGATGAGGAAATTGGGGATACTGGGTCCAAGTGCATCTTATCTCCTTTTATTTAGAGGAAAGGTTGGTGCTTCCAGACTGATGCAGATAACACAGCACAGCCCTGAGATAGGGGGTCAGAGTCTACCTGACGATAAAGGAATGGCTCCGGCCATTTTCCGTAAGCTGAGCACCGCAACGGCTGCTCGTGGAGCAATAAGATACAACGGGGAAATGCCCCTGGGCTGGGCAGGATGACAGTCCCTGTCCCATCGCAGTAAAACCTGGCCATAAACCCTGAATAACCCAAACATGCCAGCATTTGCTCGCTGCGGTGTGTTCTCCTCCCATCTCCTTTCGTGATCCAGCATCTCCATCAGAGATGGCCAGACCTCCACTGCCGCTCACTGCGGTGTGTTCTCCTCCCATCTCCTTTCGGGATCCGGCATCTCCATCAGAGATGGCCAGACCTCCACTGCCACTGCGCCCCGGCCCCGCAGCGACCCCTCCAAGTCTCTGGCATCACCTTAAGCCTCGCCAAAAGGTTCCATCCTAGAAATCCCTGAAGCGTTTCCACTGCAGGAGGGCAGCGGCAGGATTCAGCAGCCTCCCATGTTCCTGAAGAGCAATCGCTGCCTCTTTATGCCTCCGGAAAATGTATTTTTTAACGCGGGGTTCATTAAAGCCTGAAGAGAGACAACCTAAGAGGCATCTGGAAGCAACTAAAATTAAAATACCTAAAATTAGCCTCCTCAGCAGTGAATCCTCCCTCTGATCTAGATGCCGAGGTGCACATGACCCAGGCGTGCCTTTCTCATTTTCCCTTCCTGCTGCCATCCCATTCCTGAGCTGCCAGGCACGGCCCCAGGAGCTGACGTGCCCACCCATGACCCTGGAGAAAATCGCACCCCTCCACTGGGTTTGCTGGGGCCCCTCCCTCCCTTCAAAAATCAGCCTCCAAAGTTTACATTTTGGGACTGTCCCATCTCAGAGATGGCTAAAAAATACGATGTTCCCCTGTTGCCACAGGAACTGTTTGGGATGGGGACTCCCAGGCGTTGCTCCGTCCTTGGGGGAGCAATACTTGTTCCTCCAAATCCTGGCTGCTGAGGACACCCCGCCACATTTATTTTCAAGGTGTCTCATTTCCTTCGCAGCTCTTCTGCCGTCCAAAAAAGCCCCTTTCGGGTCAGGTGCTCAGGTATGTGCTTTCCCAATGGTTAAATCTTATTAGTGCATGAGATTAATTGAAATCACAGCGCTGCTGGGCTGGCGTGATGCCCTTGGTGCTGCTTTCCTCTCCGATAAATCCTGCATAGAGAGGTTTATCACATTTTGCATCTCAGGGCGGCACCCATCACCGTTAGCAGGTGGGTGCCGCAGGAGGGATGCGCTCCAGCTGGACCCCCACGTTGTTGCAGGGTCTCCCCAAGCCCAGAAAAGCCCCGGGGCTTGCAGAGGTGTTTGACCTCCAGGGAGGTCCCTGCCCCACATGCGCAGGGTGAAACCCCTGGAAGGATGAATAAAGCCACGGCCGCCTCGCTGCCTGCTTCTTCTCAGGCGTTTGCCATTGCCCTTGTTCTCGTAAAAATGAGATGCCAGATTTCCAAATAAGAAACGAAGGCATTTTCAAAGATGGGGTTGAAACAGCAACAGAAGCCTCACCGGGATTTTTCGGAAGTCGGTTCTTGATGTTGAAATCACCACCGGGCTGCGGCAGCTGCTGCTCCACCGAGGCGTCCCCTCTGCCCCCGCTCCCAGCACCACCACCAGCGCCGGTCTGGGCACCGGCATCGGGGAATGCAGGACAGGATGCAGCATCCAGGATCCAGGCGTCTTCATATTCATTGGTAGAAGATGAAACCGCTCTGGGGAGTGTTTCCACGTGGAAATGGGCTGCACATGTAATTTTCCTTCCTTCCTTTCTTCCTTTTCTTTTTCTTTTTCTTTCTCTTTTTCTTTTCCTTTTCCTTTTTCTTTTTCCTTTTTTCTTTTTTCTTTTTCTTTTTTTTCTTTCTCTTTTTCTTTTTTCTTTTTTCTTTTTTCTTCCCTTCCCTTCCCTTCCCTTCCCCTTCCCTTCCCCTTCCCTGGGCAGCCCGTTCCAGTGCTTGACAAACCCCTTCAGTGAAGAAATTTTTCCTGATGTCCAACCTAAACCTCCCCTGGCACAACCTGAGGCCATTTCCCCTCATCCTATTTCTTGTTGCTTGTTTCTCTTCTTTCCTTCCTTGCTTTCTCTTTTTCTCCCTTTCCTCTCCCTCCTCTCACGATGTTTTCTCCCCCAGGGTCCCCCCTGTCCATCCCAGGGGCAGGCAGCCCCTTCCATTCGAGGAGGAGTGCTGCGGGTGGGATGAAGGACCTGCTGTCCCAGTGGCAGTGGGGCACACGTTATCTTTTCTATCTTCATTAAAGGGAGGGTTTCCTACCTGCGGGCATCGTCCTGAGCCCTTCCCCGCCCTCCCCAGTAGGTGAGAAATTTGTGGTGGTGGGAGATGTCAAGCTGGCAGCTCAGTGGAAATATTTCCCCTAGTTTTTTGTAAATATGATGGTCAATGGGAAAAATAAAGCCTCCCGTGAAGATTTTGTTTGTAAATTCAATAGCCGAGGGAGGAAAACCCAGGCAGAAATAGGAGGGCATGGTTAATACTGGCCAGGCTGGCAGGCACAGCTGGGAGGGTGAGGGGTTGTTATAACAGGCCGTGATTTCTATTCCATGTCGGTTAAAATTAGGGTCGGCTCCCCGTGCTGTGGGTCTGGAGCTGAGCGACTGTTCCAGACCCCGCTGAATGACCAGCTCACAGGACACATTCCTCATCAGACAAGCCCTTTCCTTGGTTTTTAAAGTGAATTATCATTGGAAACGCATGGAAATGCTCAACCAGATATTCCAGGGGAAAAAAAAAAATAAAATTAAAAAGCCAGAGCAAACATTTCAGTTCATACACTGCTAAGGAACTTGTGGTTTAAGCCATCGGCACTTGAAAAATCAGACTTTCTGCATTTCTCTGGTGATGGAAGAGCTCCCTTTTCCTTCTCCTGCTGGGTTTCTGGATCTCACAGGACGTTTTGCATCCCCTGTCTGCTCCAGGCATGGGGGCAGGCGAACGGGAGGCCCTGCCGGCATCTGAAGCATTCGCCTGGAGGGAGAGAATTCCCTATTGCAGAAATAAAACTTGGGGAGATTCAACAGGGTATGGGGGAAATGGCCAAGAGCCCGCAGCCCCCGCAGCCCCTATGGATGGCTGCATTAGCCCCTGGACATTTTACATTGGTGCCTTAAACCTACACACAGGTACCTCAGACCCTGCATATAGACCCCCAGACCCTGTGTATAGACCCCTCAGACCCTATGTATAGACCCTCTCAGCTCCTGCTTATATAGGCTGCTCAGACCCTCTATATAGACACTCCTGCGACCCCTTGCAGCCCCTGAGACCTTATATACAAGCCCCTTGGACCCTATATACAGGCTCTTCGGGATGTATACGCTCCTCATCTCCTATGCACAGCCTTTCAGGACCTATGTATATGGGATTTGGGATGGCAGGGTTAGGTTAACGGTTGGACTTGATGGTCTTAAAGGTCTTTTCCAACCTAAACGATTCTGTGATTCTATATGGGCCCCGAGATCCTGTATGCAGACCTTTCAGAACTTACATATAAGCCCCTGAGACCTCATGCACAGGTCTTTCAGGCCCTATACATAAGCCCCTCACGCCCTATAGAAACGCTTCTCATAACGTATATACGTGCATTTCAGGACCTATGCATATAGGTCCCTGGGTCCCTACACACAGGACTTTCAGGACCTGCGGATAAGACCCTGAGACCCTACACACCGGCCTCCCAGGACACCTATAGACGTGCCCCCCCCTATACTGGCCCCCCGGGCCCTATA